TATGATTTTTTTTGGTAGTGTGACATTTTAGCACTAATACCTGAGGCCCATGGCCATGTTTATAGCTGTCACTTTATAGTATTCCACCTCTTTCAATAAATTTATTCTTACATATTTATGCAGGTATAAATGGTTTAGTTTTGTTTTGTTTTTCAAGACAGGGTTTCTCTGTCTATCCCTGGTTGTCTCTGTAGAACAGACTGGTTTCGAACTCACTGAGATCTACCTGCAACTGCCTCCCCAGTGATGCAATGAAAGGCATGCACCACCACTGCCTGGCTGTATTTTTTATTATACTATTATTTCTTATGTGTAGAAATGTCGTACTATCTTTGCATTAATCTTATCTCCTACAATTTTACTGAATTTATTCTTTTTTTTTTTTTTTTTTTTTTTTTTTTTTTTTTTTTTTGGTTTTTCGAGACAGGGTTTCTCTGTGGCTTTGGAGCCTGTCCTGGAACTAGCTCTGTAGACCAGGCTGGTCTCGAACTCACAGAGATCCGCCTGCCTCTGCCTCCCGAGTGCTGGGATTAAAGGCGTGCGCCACCACCGCCCGGCTCTGAATTTATTCTTTAATTCTATAGTTTCTGAAAAATCATTGGAGTTTTGTACAGAGATGAAAACCAATTCTTTTTCTCATTGATTCTTTGTATTGTTTTCTTTGTTTCTATTTTGTTGATTTCAGCTCTCAATTTGATTATTTTCTGCCCTCTAGTTCTCTTGGGTGAGTTTGCTTCTTTTTGTTCTAAAGTTTTCAAATGTTCTCTTAATTCACTAGTATGGGATTTTTCTAGCTTCTTTATGTAGGCATTTAGTGCTATGAGCTTTCTGTCCTCTTAACGATGCTTTCAATGTGTCCCATAAATTTGGGTATGTTGTGTGGTCATTTTCGTTGAATTTTAGGAAGTCTTTAATTTCTCCCTTTATTTCTTACTTGACCCATTGATGATTCAGGTGAGCATTGTTTAATTTCCATGTATTTGTGGGCTTTCTGGAATTAGTGTCACTGTTGAATTCTAATTTTAAACCATGGTAATCCAATAAGATACATGGGTTATTCCAATTATTTTGTATCTGTTGAGATTTTCGTTATTACCTAGTATGTTGTCAATTTTTGAGAAGGTTCCATGAGATCCTGAGAATAAGGTATATTCTCTTATGTTTGGATGGAATGTTCTATAGATGTTTGTTAAATCCATTTGAGTCATAACATCTGTTAATTTCCTTATTTCTCTGTTAATTTTCTGTCTAACAGACCTGTCCAGTCATAAGAGTGGGGTGTTGAAATCTCCCACTATTTGTGTGTAGGGTTTAATGTGTGGTTTAAACTTTAGAAGTGTTTATTTCACATATGAGGGTGCTCTTCTATTTGGGGCATAAAAATTCACTATTGAGATTTCCTCTTGAAGAATTTTTCTGTGACTAATATGAAATGTCCTTCGTTGTCTCTTTTGATTGATTTTAGTTTGAAGTCTATTTTGTTAGATATTAGGATAGCTACACCGACTTGTTTCTTAGGTCCATTTGATTGGAAAATTTTTTCCCAACCCTTTACTCTGAGGTGATGTCTGTCTTTGAGGTTGAGATGTTTCTTGTATGCAGCAGAAGGATGGATTCAGCTTTTATATCCAATCTGTTTTCCTGTGTCTTTCTACAAGTGAATTGAGTCCATTTATATTAAGGAATATTAATGACAAGTGATTGCTATCTCCTGTTAATTTAGTTTTTGTTGGTGGTGATGTTATTTTGTGTGTTTTTCCCTTCTTTGGGATTTGGTACTATGAGATCAATTGTCTCTGTTTTTGTTGATGTAGCCAACTTCCTTGGGTTGGGTTGGAGTTTTTCTTCTAGTACTTTGTGTAGGGCTGGGTTTGTGGCTAGGTATTGGTTAAATCTGATTTCGTCATAAAATATCTTGTGTTGTCCTTCTATGGTGATTGAAAGTTTTACTGGGTATAGTAGTCTGGGCTGGCATCCGTGGTCTCTTAATGTCTGCATAAAGTCAGACCTTCTGGCTTTCATTGGCTCCACTGAAAAGTCAGGTATAATTTTTATAGGTCTGCCTTTATATGTTACTTGGCCTTTTTTCCTTTGCAGCTCTTATTTTCTTTCTGTATTCTGTATGTTTAGTGTTTTGATTATTATGTGGTGAGGGGACTTTTTTTGGATCTAGTCTATTTGGTGTTCTATAAGCTTCTTGTATCTTCATAGGCATATCTTTCTTTAGTTTGGGAAAGTTTTCTTCTTTGATTTTTTTAAATATATTTTTGGTGCTTTTGAATTGAACTTCTCCTTCTTCTATACCTATTTGCTGCGTGCATCACGGCCCCCATCTGCGCTCTATTTGCTAGAACCCAGTTTGCGAGCTTCGGGCAAGAGGCTGGAGGTTGAGAATACACGTGCAGAGACAGACCAACACACAGACCTTCAATCACTGGTACCAAAAGCCTATCTTTAATAGCACCATGGAGGCTTAAATACACTGCAGTCAATGGCCAACAGGTGAAAATCCCATCCTCTGATCCTCTAAGCTAGGTACAGCTTCTAGTAACTCTAATTAGAAGGTTCTAGACAGGGAAGAGCAGCTGAAGTCCAGGGCTCAATTAGTCCCAACCCCTGTTATTCTTAGGTTTGGTCTTTCCATGATGTCCCATATTTCCCGGCACTATTAAAAGGACTGGCTTTGTTGGAGTAGGTATGGCCTTGTTGGAAGAAGTTGTGTCACTGTGGAGAAAGGCTTTGAGGTCTTATATGTGCTCAAGCTATGCCCAGTGTCTCAGAATATCTCCTGTTGCCTGCAGGATCAGGAGAGTGGCCTCAGTTACTTCTCCAGTACCATGTCTGCCTGCATGTCACCATCTCCTACCATGATGACAATGGACTGAACCTCTGAATTATAAGTCACCCTATTAAACATGTTCCCTTATAATATTGGTTGCTATGGTTATGGCATCCCTTAACAGTAATAGCAACCTTAAGATATGTATAGACATGTTGTATATTTTTGATAAAGAAGCCAAAAATACACAATGAAAAAAGGAACTGTTGGAGCCCGTGTGGGTCCAACATAGATTCCCTAACCCAGCTGGAACAGAGTCGTGAGGAGTAAAACTGACATAGCTTACATGGTCATCTTTTACGGGCAAGATCTCTCTCCAAAAAGATCTCTCATTTATTCTCCAAACAGCTTATATATCCTCACATGAATAGAGTGGGAACACATTAGGCTATCTCCTAGGCAACCAGGTGCATGGGCTCTGGTCATGTCCGCATCTACCTGTATGCTAGCAGTCAGGTAGGCCATGAATTAGCATCTCTATAAGACATCCTCCAAATTACAAAGGAAGGAAGCACCAAACATCCTGACCAGTTTCAGTCAACACCTCTCCTCAGGAGATCTACATTTTTAACAAGTACATCCTTGCTATTGTTAGGCAGAGACAGCTTGTCTACAGAGCTATGTGATCAGCTCAGACTGGGCTAATGGCTCTTGTGCCATACCGAAATATGGGCCTACAAGGAACCATTTCAACAACTGGTACTGGTCTAACTTCATGTCAGCATGTAGAAAAATGCAAATTGATCCATATCTATTATCCTACACAAAATTCATGTTCAAAGATCTCAACATAAAACCAGATACACTAAACCTGATAGAAAAGAAAATAAGAAATAGTCTTGAACTCATTAGCATAGGGGATAGAGCCCTGAACAGAACACCAATAGCATAGTCACTAAGAACAACATTCAATAAATGGAACCTCACAAAACCGAAAAGCTTCTGTAAGGAAAAAAAAAATCACTGCTAATAAGACAAAACAGCAGCCTATAGAATGGGAAAAGACTTTTACCAACTCTACACCCACTAGAGAGCTAAAACACTTATGAGTGAATACCTGTGTCTTTCTGGGTGTGAGTTACCTCAATATGATGTTTTCTAGCTCCAACCATTTGCCTGCAAAATTCAAGATGTTATTTTTTTCTTCTGTGTAGTACTCCACTCTGTAAATGTACTACATTTTCCTTATCCAGTCTTCGGTTGAGGGGCGTTTAGGTTGTTTCCAGTTCTGACTATGACAAACAATTCTGCTATGAACATAGCTGAGCACATGTCCTTGTGGCACAACTGAGCATCCTTTGGTTATATACCCAAAAGCGGTAAAACTGGGTCTTGAGGAAAGTTGTGTCCTAATTTTCTGAGAAATCACCACACTGACATACAAAAGGGCTGTACCAGATTGCATTCCCACCAGCAATGCAGAAGTGTTCCCTTTACCCCACAGTATCTCCAGCATAAGTTATCATCAGTGTTTTGATCTTGGCCATTCTTACAGGTGTAAGATGGAATCTCAGAGTTGTTTTGGTTTGCATTTCTCTGAAGACTAAGGATGTTGAACATTTCCTTAAGTGTCTTTCAGCCATTTTAGATTCCTCTGTTGAGAGTTCTCTGTCTAGGTCTGTACTCCCCATTTTTTTTACTAGATTATTTGCTCTTTGATGACCAATTTCTTGATTTCTTTGTATATTTTGGAGATCAGACCTCTGTCTGATGTGGGGTTGGTGAAGATCTTTTTCCATTCTGTAGACTGTCATTTTGTCTTGTTGACCGTGTCCTTTCATTCTTCTCTATATTGACATCCAGTTATGCCAGCACCATTTGTTAAATATGCTCTCCTTTTTCCATTTGATATTTTTTTACTTCTTTGCCAAAAATCAGGTGTTCTGAGGTGTGTGGATTAATATCCAGGTCTTTGATTTGGTTCCATTGGTCCTCCTGTCTGTTTTTATGCTAATACCAGGCTGTTTTCAGTACTGTAGCTCTGTAGTAGAGTTTACATGATCATCTCATTAGATGTCAAAAAAGCTTTTGACAAAATACAACATCCCTTCATGATAAAGGTCTTGGAGAGAGCAGGGATACAAGGAACATACCTAAACATAATAAAGGCAATATACAGCAAGCCAACAATCAGCATCAAACTAAATGGAGAGATACTCACAGTGAGTCGACTGAAATCAGGCACAAGACAAGATTGTCCACTCTCTTCATATCTATTCAATATAGTTCTGGAGGTCCTAGCTAGAGCAATAAGACACCAAAAAGAGATCAAGGGGAAATCGGAAAAGAAGAATTCAAGCTCTCACTATTTGCTGATAATATGATAGTTTATATAAGCGATCCCAAAAATTCTACCAAGGCACTTCTACAACTTATAAACACTTTCAGTAATATAGCAGGATACAAAATTAACCCAAGAAACTCATATTGAAGGATACAACCAATAACCTAATGTAAGATACATAAACCCTACAATCAATATGAAAATCCTGAAGTCATATCTTCTGCAGAGATCACCAAACCCATAGTAATGGTCCCCAATGAGAATTTAGAGGATTCTCAATACATGGAAATCAAAAGAACAATTGTGAAAAATTTCTAAAATTCAAGGTATTTCATAAACTTGCAAGCAAACACCCATATTAGTTTAAAGAAGACAGGAAAATAAATTAATGGAAGTTCAAGAATACACAGCTGAACATTGGGTGAAATAGTAAAGAAAATGAGAATAGGAAAATTGAAGTCAATTAGGGGGTAGAAACATTGAAGAAAAGCCAAACTGAAATGAAGCTAGTGATTAAAACTTTAATAATTGTCATAAAAAAATTTACTGGCTAGTCTTGCCAATAGAATGAGGCACCGAAAAGATAGAATAACAGTAGTTGAAGTGAAAAAAAATGGATTATTCAATTAAAGAAAATGTTAAATATTTGAAAACTCATTAAATGAATATGCCAAAACTTAGACATCAGGAAAAGACTAAATCTATTGAGTTGGGGCCATAGAGGAATTCTAGTTCAGATGCATAGGACACAGCCTCAATACAATGATGAAAAAGACTCTCAAATCTAGGAAAAGAATTGCCTTTTCAGATATAACAGGCACACAGAATACCAAAAAGAAAGTACTAAAAAATCAATTTTCCAGCCGGGCGGTGGTGGCGCACGCCTTTAATCCCAGCACTCAGGAGGCAGATGCAGGCGGATCTCTGTGAGTTCGAGACCAGCCTGGTCTACAAGAGCTAGTTCCAGGACAGGCTCCAAAACCACAGAGAAACCCTGTCTCGAAAAACCAAAAAAAAAAAAAAAAAATCAACTTTCCATGCCATATTATACTGAAAACAGTAAATACACAGAACAGAGTAAGGATGCTAACAGCTGCAAGAGAGAAAGACCCATTCACATACTAAGTACAGACTCTTCACAATAATTGAAGGTCACTCAATGGAAACTCTGAAGCGAACATATTGCTTCAACTTCAGAAAGAACACGGATGCCAAACAGTGTATGATAGTTTATGCTGCCTGGAAAAACTTCCCATCATAACTGAAATAGAAAAACAAACAAAAAACTTACCATGACAAAAGAAGGTTAAAGGAATTTGTGACTACTAAACCAGCTTTATAGAAACAACTGAAAGGAATATTCTGGATTGAATTTACAGATAATTGTACCAAAGAAGGGAACTGGTGCATACATAGAACCTTTATCCACAGGTTCTAGAGTCTTTGCTATGGGAAGGTCTTCTAAAGGTTACCAAAGAGAAATGTAAACTGCATCCCAGCCACAAAACCTTTGATCTACAACGTGTCTTGCCTACAAAATATCCTACAGCAAAGGCAACACCAAGCAAGTGGATGAAACCAATCAATGTCTGATTTGACTCAAGGCCCACTCTGTGAGATGTAACCCATACTCAACACTGCTTGAGTGGTCAAGACTAACTAGCCCAGAGACCTAAGGGAAAACCAAATACTACTAGTCTAAAATTATTTTAAAGGAACAGTAAAATAACTTCTAATTATATTTTGCTATAGTCGTAAATCAGTGCCTTGTTCAGGCATCATCAGAGAAGCTTCCTTCTGCAACAGAATGGAACAAATACAGAGACCCACAGCTGGACATGGAGAGAGAGAGAGAGAGAGAGAGAGAGAGAGAGAGAGAGAGAG